GTAAGTCTCAGTTGAAAACGAGCGTGGTTTTCTTTTTCGGTTATATATATTTTAATTTCTCAATGGATCCAAGTGTCATAATTATTTTAGTGCAATGAGCCTTTAACAAATATTTTAAGTTAATTATAAACTGTTTTTTTTTTTTTCTTTGCTTTTGTTTTTCATATAATTATTTTTTCTTTTCTTTTTTTTTTTTTTGTATATTAATTAAAACGTTCAGAAGCAAAGTGCTATCGCCGCCGCCACTTCATACTGTAATGTTGTTATTGTTAAATTTGATTTAAATTTTTTGTTTTTAATTCTATTTTTATTCTCACATGAAATTCAGGCAAATTCAAGAGTATGAAACACAAACAACAAATATGCATATAATTATTTACTGTGCACATGCAGGCGATGAGAGTGAAAATGTTTTAACTAAAAAAGAAAAGAAAAGAAAGAAAACGAAATTATATGTTTTACTAATTGGCAAGGCAAAGAATTGATTATTAACAAGAAACGACACTAAAGTGCGGTACGAAATGCCCTACATCGATTCGCTTAACTTAGAGTCATTCGTAAAATGACTTTTTCAAAAAACCAAAAGTGCTCGAGATGCGAACCATTTTCAATAGTTTCCGTCTTTGGGCGAAAACAGGTCGGTGTACCAAGTTAAGCGTAGGAAAACACACAGGATACACAGGCGAGCTGACAGATAGGCAGTGATTCTCAATCGAACGGCATAATAAAACGTGAGTCTCTCCCACGTTCTAGTTGTTGCATACATCCACACTAATCGAATATATTTTTGCACCACACGCGGTTTAGGGAATAAAAATTAATCAATGTGACACAGCAATAATATAATTAGTCGATTCTTTTTTTGAATATAGTTTTTGGAGGACTTCTCCACCCTTTCGATGCAGCATAAAATTTGAAAAAGTTCATTTTATGTGGAATATCAAACTACATTAGTATTTGAAATAGTTTTTCAATATTTTTATCTCGATTTCTTTTCGATATCAGGTTTTGGAAATGCAACCCAATCAATACTTAACAAGCTTATTATAATTATTTACAAGCAATTATAATTATTTACGTTGGTCGGTCTTGCCATTCATAGCTTGTCTACTTAATAGGCTTTTTATTCACACTTCTTTTGATGCTAACATAGGCTATCTTCTTTATTTATTATGGCTATTTATTCGTATACGCTTTCTTCATTCAAACCACTATTGGGTTGTCGAAAAACTCACAACACATTTTTTTAATATATCAAAGTTGATCGCTTTGCTTGCTTTAAATACCATATTTGCAGCTTTATGTTAAGAGCAATTAAGCGCCTTCTCTTAGACATTTCAGACAATATTGCGAAAGAGGAAAGTAGAAGATGAACAACAATTGAGTATAATATTGAGTATGGATGAATAGGCTGGGCTTGTGTGATGATGAGACATCATCGATAATATCTAAATCATATCACTTAGTGAAAGAGATCTTGCAAAGGCATAAAAGCCCCTTTATACAATCATCTGGAATATATCGTTCGATAATATATTATTCCCGACAACTCAACATATCCGTTAACATATTTGATAATTATTAAAATATTCATTCCTCTTACTTTCTTTACGAGTACAATTTAACTCGGTCGGCTTCGACAAGAGAGGTTGGAATTAGTACCGTAGAGTATAGAATAAAGTTGTGACTTCTGCGTTTGTCTTTAAGCTACACACTAATTTCTTTAAGCTACACACAATCTAGTTTCTTGGAATTTTGAATAGATGTAGTTTTGCGCCCAAAAATGCAATTTGGGGGAAACTTTACTTTGTCTGCTTAATTCAAAGGATAGCACAGCTAAATCCTTACAAGAGATGGACAATGGATACGCTACAATTTCCAAAGTCTGAGTAACCATGCGGCAGAGAATGCGAACCAATAACGTCGACAATAAGGTCAAATATTCTTGAGTGTCTTATTCTCGGGTCGGCTAAGCGTGCAGTACGAAACCATCCCCAAAAAGTACCACGTCTAATAATCGAAACAATTGGGCTAAACAATGGGCGTAATACATGAAAAGTTCGATTTTTTTGGTACAATATTGAACAACGACTCGCTGCCCGGATATCTCATTTACATTCATCTCTACTCTACTCTACTCTAATGACGCTGTAAATGGTAGGTGGGGGAAAAAGAAGTTCAAAGAAGTCCGACAGATGAAAGTGTCGATAACATTCTTCAAGCAAATGCTTTCTCATCAAAAAGCAGTATTTCATCCTCGGAATGCACTCGATTTCAAATTGATCGGCTGGTTTGCAAAATTGCCGAAGTAGCGCCATTAAAAACTAATGATCGAAATGTTATAAAATTTTAACGCATTCGTACTATCTAAAAATCAATACCCCTCGTACATCTGAATGTCATTCTACGGGTGCGTTATTAAGTTAAAAACTTAAAGCTAGTATACAGAGTCCGATTTGAATATAGATGATGGTTTTACTAACTACGGTATTCACTCATTTCACCATATTCTGATGGAACGTTTAATTGTTTGCACGATATTTTCAAAAGATTATTTCATAAAATTTTTATATTAAAGAACCACCTTTCCATTTACTATAGCGAAGGCATAAAAATTTTTAATTATTCGAAATTTATTAACTTCTGTGGGGAAGCGCCCATATTGGTTCATATTTACAGGCTTAGATGTATGTATGCATGCAATGCACATCGCTTTTGTTTAGTCGATCACCACACGTGCCTAATGCTCTATTTATTTAGATTAGATAGACTAACTGTTGATTTCGCTTATGTATATATACCGTAACATGATGTTCATGTTGTCTTTGTTATTGTTATTTGAATTTTCTTCGCATTCCTTTAGTGCAAATTGTTTCATTCTTATACCCGTCATCGAAGAGTAGGAATATACTCAATTTGTCATGATGTTTGCAACACCCAAAAGGAAACTTCATAGACTCTATAAATTATAGCCATTCTTCATCAGCGGGAAATTCTGAATCGATTAAACCATATCTGTCCGTCTGTTTATCTGTGAGCCAGTGTCGTGTGTGTTGTTGACACTCTCTTCGATAGAAACATGGGAAGTTTTTGCTCGCACTTTGGTATTGAAAATGTGTCAAATCGATCGGGGAACACGTCCGCGATAATGCAGAAACTGAACACAAAGTTACGAGTGATTAAGTTTTCCTTTTTCCACTTTTTTGAGGTTGTAATGCTTAGAAACCCTAAGGTAAACAAGGCAGAATGCTTAAGATTATTCTGCACATTCGCCAAATTGATGTATATTGTCTGTCCAAAAGTGCGTTATAAGCATTTCGTGGTAGCCACCGCGACATGATGGATTCATTTTGTTTTAGCAATACCATCAATAAGGGTAGGAAATAAAAGGACCTCGAGAGCAAAATGCGACAAGCTCAGTATGTTAATTCTAAATTAATTATGGTGAATATCACGACTTCTTCTTAACAATACCTTCTAGTGGACTTTAAGGTGGATGGTAATTTTTATCCCATTTAAATTTTTGTAACCATGAATAAAAACATGGGGCGGCAAAAATTTTAATGAGAGAGTATGTGAGATGTGAATCGGCCCCAGCCAATTATAAGTGTCTCACTTGCTGTATATAAAATTAATTTAAACATTATACCGAAATATTTGTTTTTATTCAAATACGGACGTCTACTATATATATGGATACGTGTATGTCAACATCAATTAAACGGAATAAATTATAGAACCGTCTAGAGATGAAATAGGGCAAAGAAGATTTTTATATACATACATATTCTACCTATAACTTAACGGTGCGCTGTTTGGTTGGTATTAGTGTTAAAAATGTGACTTTTAGTTTAACCCTTAAATGCATATTGTTGCCAGTTATCTACATTCTAGTTTCATTTAATTTTATTTAAAACCTTAGTGTGTGCGCTTTCGAATGCATGTTGATACTCGTAGACAATAAATCATGTGTGAAAGAGAAAACTTGTCATTACCTTTGGCGGGTAACATGTGAATTTGGTGGGCGATAAAGTTCAGTGTGTTACTTGGAGTGGACGAATGATTTATCCAATTGAAAAAAAATTACTTTTCATTTATTGTTATGTAAGCTATCAACGTTTTGATGTTGTATTTGACAATTATATTTGATATATGCCGGTTTTTTTGGAAATAGTGTATGTAACAAGATGTGTATTTTTTCCGTTTCTCACAGAAGTAATAATAAGCGAGTGCTTGTGGTTTCTTTGTTTTTTGGCTCATTTTGCTTTGCTTTATACGATGTCTAGGCAGGCGACTACAAGATATATCGCGGACATATCGTGGATACACTCGTTGGACTTGAAAATGGGGATATTTTTGAAAAGGAAGAAGATATGGGTAACCTACACGAAATTGATTATTATCCAGTCGCATAAGATCTAGTAAAACAATTATAGGACAATAATGATGAAGAGGAAGAACACGACAATGAAGATCTTTCCTTAGTTATATTTGATGTTGCAGCTTACATGCACCAAAGCAGGGAAGTTATATGAAAAGACCGCAATTTCGAATACAGTCACGGGCGCATACATATTTCACAGGGAATACAGGATTTCCCCCTCGATTTGCTTTTTCTTACTTTCTTGCCTTTAATCTACAAGTCACAATTTTTAAGATATTTTGATGAAATTTGGTAAACCGGTACGTTTTTGCCCGACGACGAGCGCTCTTCAAAATGATTCGGATCAGATCAGTTTCTCGATCATTTCCCATATAACAACTTATTATTAAAAGTCTTAATAAAAACGATTCTATTGAGTAAATAGGTGTAGAGCACTTGATGGTGGGCCTTGTCCTGCTGTACGATTTCTACTTGATACTTACTTACACTTATATTCAGAAGTTAAGCATTTTTTTGATATATATTCCAATGAGATGATTGGCTTAATTTACAATTTATTATCAAATTATTTACTAAATCAAACCACAAATCCCAACTCCCATCCATTCCATCGTAGATCTAGAAGGCCAGCCAAAAGATTACCATTTTTAAATGACGATGATAATACAAAAAGTGATACCGATGATGGCGATGAGGATGAAGATTTTTGCACCGATGATTCTGATGATTATTACGGGCAACGTCAACAGCAAAGTTACAATGTGGCCGCAACGGCACCAGCGACTAATAATTTGCATATGTCGATGACAACACATTATCACGGTAGCATAAAACGTAAAAAGTTGGAAACTACACCAGTCGAATTACTGGATAATGATGATGCTTGCAGCGAAGATGCTTTTATACGTAAAATAGCCAGTGCTAGCGCTGAGCCGGTAGTTGAAACAATATTGGCCGTCGTGCCACCGGTTGCAGTGCCTGCTGCTATCCCCATTGTAACGTCTTCTACAAAGTAAGCTTAACACTTGTTTGTTCAATAACTATGCAAAACTATTGATTTCCATAAAGACTTTCAATATTTTATTGTTGAAATTATTTTTGGCCTTTACTTGAAATATTGTGTTCCTTTGTGTTTGCAAAATTATCGCTTCTTCCCATTCTATTGTACTGTGCAATATGTTTATATACTTTTTATGTTAAACCTTATTTCGATCTCATGTTCATCATAGTATTTTTGAAAAAAATGTTTGTTTTGTCCCTGTGTTATCATTGATTTTTTCAAAATTGTTTTTAAAAAATTAAAAGTAAATTATATTTAGCTTAAGTTTTTTACTTAATTTTTTTTTTTTTATTTTTATTATTTTTTTATTTTCATTTATTATTATCCTTTTCTAGATTTATGGGTCCCAGCTCTCGAGTCATTAGTCGTGTTGCTCATAAACGTCAAGTACTCACGCCACCAAACAGTGTTGCCACCTCTTCGGACGGTCGCATACAATTGGAAATAGTTTCGCAACCTGAACAGCAACATCGTGCTAGGTAGACTTTAGTTATGCTTATGCTTGAATTGTGCGCCTTCATATTCTTTTTTGTCTATTATTATGATTGAAAATATGTTTAGATATCAAACTGAGGGTAGCAGAGGTGCGGTTAAAGATCGAAGCGGCAATGGCTTCCCCATTGTTCGTTTGATTGGCTATAATAAACTGGCCGTTCTGCAAGTATTTATTGGTACCGATATTGGCCGTGTAGCTCCGCACATGTTTTATCAAGCCTGCAAGGTGGCCGGTAAAAATTCCACCCAATGCAATGAGAAAAAAGTAGATGGTACTGTGGTTATTGAAATTGATTTTAAGCCCGAACAAGACATGACCATAACTTGTGATTGCGTTGGAATTTTAAAGGTATAAATGTTTTATTTTATTATACTAACAGAACTGGTAAAATAAAACTATTTGTCCATTAGGTTGCAGTTGAGGCAGGCTCACTTATCCCATCTGTGAACCAGGCCGGCTGTGAACCATTCGCTTATTAATGAAAAGAACTTTGTTTTAGAAGATTTTTTTTCAAAAAAAAAAAAAAAAAAAAAACTTGTAAATAAATTTAAGCGAAGAAAGTCGTTTAACAAATTTTATTCGATTTCAATTTTTTTTCTTCTTCTTCTTTTTCTTTTTATCATTTTTTAGGAACGCAACGTCGATGTTGAACATCGTTTTCCCGATCATCTTGCCCAGAAAAATAAAAAAAAATCAACTCGATGCCGTATGGTGTTCCGCACCCAGCTCACGTTAGACGATGGAACTATAGAAACATTGCAAGTTTGCTCTAATCCAATTATATGCAGTAAGTATGAAATTGACAAATTGCATTTTTCGCGATTGTTTTCTATTTTCGTTTTCGTTTTCGTTTTTGTGTTCGTTTTCGCTTTCATTTTACTATCATTTATTCAGCACAACCACCTGGTGTTCCTGAAATTTGTAAGAAATCATTAAATTCTTGCCCAGTTGATGGAGGTCTTGAGTTGTTTGTAATTGGTAAAAACTTCCTAAAGGATACGCATGTGGTATTTCAAGAACTATATGATAGTAATGGTAATAATCCTGTCGATGACCTTAAATGTGCTGATATTGCGGTAATGCATCAATCAACATTGATAGGGCCGTGCTGGGAGCAGACAGTTATGCCCGATAAGGAATATCTTCAACAGGTACTTAAATATATATTAATCTATACATATATATATATATAAAAGAAAGTGAAATCGAAGAATCGCATCAGTGGAGGGTGACGGAGGAGAAAGACGAGTGAGGAGCGATTATATAAACTGAAATTGACGCGTGACTGTCTGTTTACGTCAAACTAAAAAAAGTGCGAAACTATTTTATTTATTGCGGCCAGGGCAAAATTGATATTTACGTTCAGTATACATATCCTTGATCAGCGAAATATGATTTAGTTATCGCTCGTTAAATTGTTTCTGGAACTAGATATATCTCTCAGCAGAAATAAGCGAAAAATCTAATTCTTCTTCCTTTGAGAGATGCTCTCTGTTCACGTTGTACTGATGGTAGGGCCTTTGAACTACGCTGCCCATTTTGAATACCAATCTGCGTGCAGTAATTTGCAGTGTTTTCGTTAAATAAATGAATATGCCTGAATCGATTCAAAATTGCATGCTAGACGGGAATATTTACATTTACATTATGCAACATAAGGGACTCTCTGAAGTGTCTTTGTTATGCGTGTTGCAAATATTTGGACAAACCCAATATACATACATGCACTCTAAAGAGTTTTATTAATTGTACCAAGTTCTGTTTAAAATATTTTACAATTCTACAAATTAAAGCGTTTTGCCTATTGCTGGCTTGTATGTAGACAGAGTCACATACTTTCTTACATTATAAGGTTTTAAATGATGAATCCTTTTATGAGATTTTAGCTGGGAATTTTTTTCTTTTTTTTTAAATTGCAAACGTTATGACAATTTAAGTAAATACCCATCGATAGTTTTTTTTGATATGACCAATCATGCAAAGAATGTCCTCTATTCACGTAACGCGATGACGGTGAAAAAAAAGAAATGAGGAAAGAGGAAGAAGAAAAAAAGAACAGGCCGCAGGCTAGTGGGTATTTATTCAATCGATAGGTATTACGGCCTTACCGACTGAAGAACGCTCTATAGCTGTAATTAATGTAAACTCTATCGCGTTGCGATTTAAACCCACGCTGTTACAAGTGCATTTGTGCGTTTTTAAGACTAAAATGTGGCGATGCATTGTTCCAATGCAATGTTCCAATGCATTTTGGAAATGTTTACGGTTTTGTTACATTGCTGTAGCTATATCGTATTTATTACGGGGAACGTATTTGTACTGCAAGATAGTGATGCATGTATGCAGCGATATTACATTTACTGCGTATTATCGTTTATTTTTCTGATCTTTAAAACTTGTTCTCATTCAAAGTCACTAAAGTCATTAAAAATTATTAATAGAATTCGAGTTTAGTCGGAGACCGATTTTTACCCATGAACTTATTTATTCACTTTATCTACTTGCCGTAGACTCATCTGATTTGCACGGTGCCGCCGTATATTCATCAGAATATTTTAAAACCGATCACGGTCCAATTATTGATAATATCGAGCGGCAAAAAAAGTGAACCTCATACGTTTGTCTACACACCAAAAGGCAATTATACCGCGTTAGCGGCCTCAACTTGTCTTAGCAGTAGCGCAAGCAGTTTACACTGTGGCGGTTGTGGCGGTGGTAATGGTAGCTTGTCGGCAACGACAACAGCACAAGGTATTTATATTTTTTCATTTCATTTTACATTTTCTTGTTTATCTATCTAATCTTCGTCTATATTAAATGAAATGTAAAAAAAAAAAAGAATAAAAAAAGAACAACAATAATAGTATTGTTGTGTATCTGTGTTTATATATACAAACGAGAAATTTAACATTTTTGTATTGTGTTATTGTTTCGTTTAATTCTCATTCGTATGTATTGCAAGAAAACCATGTATATATATATATATATATATATATACATATATACATATATATATATATATATATATATATATAATAAATAATAAAAATGTTTAGTTAGTTACATGTAAGTATAAAAAATTTCTAGGAGAATTATTTTAGTTAAACTTGTTAGAGAATTGTGTGCTTTTAGTGTGTTTAGTATCGACGACAAATCATTCATATAGATATTATTAATATTTATTAACTCTATTTACGTCAAACAACAACTAAATTTAAATACTTTTTTTTTCTCGCTTTCCTTAATTATATTTTTATACAACCGATCATTAATTTTAGTTTTCTGCTAACCCCGATTGGTTAGATTAATCACTACAAATGTGTACAGTACATGCAACGATTCTTAGATGAGAAAATTATATTTTCAACGAAACAATAACAATTACATTACAATAAATGAAAAAAGCAGCAACAACAACAACAATAAAGAGTAAATTGATAATAAATTTTTATTTTTTATGCCCATCACCGAAGATTAAAAATACTTCTATCTTTACAAGTATATTCTTAATAAGCTTGAGATTTGAGCAGTATTTTACCATGTCCCTCTATGCTGCGGTCTGTTGTCCGAATTTGCAATAACAAAAATGAATATAAAACAAGCAAACTAAGTATGTCTTCCTTTTTTTTCTTTTTTTTTTTTTTTTCTGTTCTTCCCATTGGGAAAAAGGTTGGCTTGATTCACTTATTCCCACAACGTTGATAAAAAAGAAAAAAAAAACCAACAAAAAAATTCCTGAAAAAAGGATTTGTAAACGTTGTGATTAATAATTTCGTGGAACGGATGAAAATTGTTATAAATATTGAGGAGAATTCTACAAAAGTCCGCTCTCCAAGTGGCTCGGATAAATCAATTTGAAAGCTTATATGTCTGGTTTGAGATGGCGGGTATCCAAGGTTCGTCCTAAGGCGAATGGCTTTTTAATTATTATTTTTTCCTTGATTAATTACTAACAACAACAAACATGATTATTTTACGTGTATCTGCATACATGATAGTCAGCCAGCCAGCCAGTCAGCCTGCTTGCTTGCTTGCTTACATGGATGCATGCATGCATATATGTTTATCTGCTTAATAAGATGAGAAAATCATTTTAGTACAACTATTTATAGATATTTAACTGCTCAACAGGTCTCCGAGCACCGAGTACCGAGTTAAATTTCTGCATAGTTATCAAGTTCGATATTAATTATGTAAAAAATGTGTGAAATTTTTGTATATGTAGTTACTACTAAACAGTATAGACGATATACTAATCCTATCATTCTATATTTTTAATTTGCAAGAAATTATTAGTTGACGTGGCTCCGAAATGGAAATGGCAATGGAATTCTCACGGTTTCGAAAATTTACATACAAAACTGAAATTTTCTTTACATGAAATTTTCTTTCTCATTTCATACCTAAGATGCACAAGTTGATATGGTTTTTATGCCTTCAATTCTGATAAAATTGAAGCAAAATGAAAAAACATAAATAGTTTTTTTTTTTTTTTTTTTTTTTTTTTATAACTTTGAACAAACTAATAATGATTTTTTCGAATATTTAGGGCAGATATGAACAAAGTACCCTACGTTCCTCCTATATTGACCAATACTCAAAATTCGTGTCAAAGTGAGTATGGTTTTAATGCTAATTGTGCGCTATACCGCTTGTGCGGATTTTTTGCAACACTCAGAAGATCTTAAGAAACCTCTTATTCCGCTGATCGATTCAAAGTGATTTTCTGAATTGATTGCATCACTTCTGCCTATCCCCTGTATTTAACCCTAAACACCGCAATAATTGAGCTGCTTCGATTTACTTCAATTGACTATCGGACTATTTGTACGACCACGCCACAAATGAATCGTTTCGTTAAAAAAGTGTTCATATGTGTAGAAAATTGCAAATTTTTTAAATTTTCCGACAACAATCACTGTCCGACCGATCTATTGAAGCACCTACGCTGCAATTTTTAATGTTTCACAGTGAGAGTTAGTCCACAAACGCAGTTTGACGTAGAAATTTTTCTTTTTTTTCTTTGTTTTGATAAAATTCAACTGTTTTTAAAATCTGCTCGGTACAAAACATCACCATTATCTACGGTCTTTCGTAGCTTATGGATACCCACGCAGTAGAAAAGTGTTAGTTTCAAGGCGACATAGCTATCGAGTACTCCATTTACGAACATCTTGAACGTCTATAAACCGCGGAGTGGTTAAATATGAATCCGTCAACCTGAATAAGCGGTAATCGAAAGGGGCACACCTGGAGAATGCACGTAGTGCGGCAAATCTTCCCAGTCTAAGCTGAAAATTTTCAGGTTGCTTGCTTTTGCCAACGACAGACGGACGAATGCGGATTTCATGATTTTTAAGACACGATCTACACGTCTCGTATCTTACTGTGTTTTCAGTCCAAGCTAACTTAATCATTTTCATAGCTTGAGTTGTATTTTTTCATCTTTAATGCAGTTGAGACCAGAGAAAATGCAGTTCCATAAATGATATCCATCTCTTGAAGCTTTGTTATGCATTGAACGAAAGGTTGTAAACAACTCAAACTTATATCGTCCTAACAACAATATCTAAGTTATCTATATCTGAAATTAGAGGAAGTTGAGCTCGCCAGGTACATTTTATGAAGCAACCAATTCCAGCGGAACGAATTTATTTGTATATCTAATATTTCAAACCCCACCTTATTCATGAAGAATGGTAGTAAAGTCCTATTTATTCTATGTACTTTATGACGAGAATAAGTAAATAATAATAATAAGGTCTTCGAGAAGAAGATTCCAGGTTCCCTTTTGAAGTTCTTTTCCATTGAAGGTCTATAAGCTCGTAAATATAATTTTAGATAATTCGTGAAGATAAACGAAGAGTGGTGTAAGGTGCCTAATACTCGGTTTTAATCGGCTATAATGTGCTTACTTGCTTTCTATTTAGTGATAATTCCTTTCGCATTTTTATTTCCTTCACCAATATATATGGGAGTTTTAAATTTTACTTTAATTTTTTAATTTAAAAACAGAACAAAAAAAGAAATGCATGCCGTTTCCAAAATTCAGCAAAGCCCACAACAATAAGATCAGCAATCACAGTCGAGTGTCGGTCATTAAATAAATGAATGCCTACCGCTCATTTTATACAGAAAGTATTAATTTATTAATTATTATTTACTTTTTTTCTAATATATTTCAACATAGCGCTGTGTGCTTTACGAAAAGAATATAAAATCAAAGTTTTAATTACGTTTGCCATATAATAATAAAAACATTAAATTACAAACACGTGTATGGATTTTAGTCATTTTAAACCTACCATACGATCGCCAGTTTTTTATTCACGAATTGCTTTTGGCATCCAACATCGAACTAATTAAACGTATAAATTTCTAAACTAAATAGTTTGCAACAGCGAAAAATTAACGTCAGAGGGCCGACTCCATTACCAAGCATACGGTTTGAACTTTTTCTAACATATCTCTCGAAAATTTCAAAAAAAAAAAAAAAGGTTAAGTAAAGCGTCCATATGTTCTTGTTAATATTTGAAAATCATCTCAGTACGCTGGCATCTCATTAAAACTAATATCAATATCGTAAGACGTAATCAGTCCGCAAATTGCGGACAATTATCTAATATGGCCTTAATTTACAAACACATTGGTCTAATTTGTATATCTGTCGTATATCGTATGGCACATTGGCAAATGCCTCGTGAAAAAAGAAGGATTCTATTAAGACTACGTATACCAAAGCCAAGTTATTTTTAATTTGTTTCTGATCCCGCTTGTCAAATGAAATGAACTGATTGGGGGCAGTCAGAAAAAGCGTTCGCCCACCACACTTGTCAAGTGAAGCAGGGGTTCACCCACAGTTATCAAAAAGCTGCATTAAGATAAGGTTAGGAACAGCCATCAGATAAAGTAAATCTAAATAAATAATTACACAAGATATAAAAATATAGAATAAAGTGGATAACAATAATACACCTAAAGAGTGTAAATTTTTAATAAATGCAATTAACAAACGCAATTGATCTTCCTTCCAAAAATTTTTCTCAAAACTCCCATCAAGTTAATCGGTCTAGCAGATCGCTCATTTTTAACGAAAACTTGACAGAGTTTATCATATCATTGAATATTTTGGGCAAACTTCTTTAAAGTTTTAAATGGCATATTGAATTTTTCTGTTTTAATGAAGCTTCTATATCAAGCCCGTAAATTCATTAAGTCGGAGTAGGCGGGGACTCGCTTACAATTGTGAAAAAATCATGCATAGATAAAGCAAAGTATATAAATACGATCTTTATTCTGAATTCTTGTACTAAATTGTCTAAAAATATTATTTGAAATATATACGATATACGATAAATGTAATAAGATGGACGATAGACGATTGACGATACGCATATAATGAAATAGACACAACACGTGAGTAGAGTAGAGATTAGAGTTAAATATGGATACTAAAAAATTCGTCCCAACTATTGCAATACATAGATGGGACATTTGTTCGATCCTCAACTGAATTTTGAAAATCATGTTCATGTATAGCCTTATACAGATTTACACAGATTTGGTCCGAAAATATGGGTCATATCCGATCTGAAACATAAAAAGGGTAACGATACTTGAAATACCGTAACAAATTTGATGAAAACGAAACGATTTCAAAGAGATTTTCGATCCAGAAACAAGTTTACTGAACAACAGAAGAAGATATTGATTTTAGTTGTTGGGTATTCGAAATTCATTATAAGCGGCAA